TGCAGTGAGCAGCCCCCAGATAAAACAGGTCAGGCTTTCTGATAAGCTATGTAGGAGATTTGGACATGCAGTCACATTGAAATTAGCAGACGTTGGATATCGATGCCCTCTAGAAGACTTCTTGTCTATTTTCCATCGCATGTAAGTAACCCCTCGCCCCTCTCCTTTCCCACTGTAATTGAGTGGTCCAGCACCCCAGGCTTCAACCCCTTACTTGGTTACTGGAGAAAGAAACCAGCTGCCTTGCTGAGGCATTTCTCAATATCCCAAACTCATCCTTATTTCCTTTCATTATGTCTCTACCTGTCATGCTCTTTGTGGAGAAAGGAACAAATGCATTAATTCAAGTGCAGTGAGCGCTCCCGCCCAAGCCTCCTACCCCTCACTGCCTCCGCGACCTCACAGAGATTTCACTAAATATGTGTAATTAGGTTCTGCAAAGTGACTTCCTGACTGTATGCGCTCTTTTCAAGTGCAGAAGCCCTAAGTGGTGGTGTGTGTTTTTCAGAGCTGCTTCGAGTACCACTTCATTTTTCTAGCTTTTGTTTACAAAGTTATATTTACTTATCTTTTTACCCATACCCAAGCACATCAAAGCCAAGTCCGTTTCAAAAAAATCTTAAAGCCCATGGACAATGTCACTTACTGGCCAGGATTTTGCGTATTCTGAAAAAGGTGTTATAGAAAATAGCTATAGATAGATAGGCTGTGTTGAAAAGGCTGTGTTTGTGCATGAGCTTGTATGTGTTTGTCTGTCCATCTTTTTGTATGAGTTTGCCAGAATATGTAAAGAAATTCCATCCTTAGCAGGGGTTGATTTAAACATGATCTGAAGTGCTCTGCTAACATAGGGTGTGCCAAAGCTCATTCTGTGCTGAATCTGTGCCAAAGTGCTTTTCAGATAAATTACAAATTAATGTAATGCCTATCGTGAGCTTAAAGTATTTTTCTTCTCTTCTGTTCTCCCTCTCTTCAAGTGGGGTCTGCTGGTCCAGTTGCAGACTTTTTCTTTTAACTGTCGTCGTTGTCATGGTGGAAATGAGTTTTTGAGGAGAACTGCTCCTCAAAAGCATCCAGACTCAAAATTGATCTAGCTTCCTTAAGATGCTTACTGCAAACTGGACTCCCTATAACACAAATACCTCCTCCTCCCTCAAGGTGTGCTTCAGCCTGGGCTGTGAGAGATGCTTGGTGTCCAAGGAGCCTCCATCTCCAGCACTGCTGGCAGGCGAAGCTGACATCACTGGTGACAGTGTGTCCTGCTCTGCCTTGTAGCTTCGTAGGTTGGGGCTGAGGGCCTCACCTGACAGTGAAAGCATTCTGGGAACCAGTGAAGACTTTTAGGCACGGAGGTTATACCTGTACAGCTCCTGCCTTTACAAAGTAGACCTCTACACTGGCAAGCTGTCTTAACCTGTTACGTCCTTGTGACAAATACATGGATCAGGCAGGCCAGATCCCACTCTAGGGAAAAAAAGCAAGCAAGCAAGCAAGCATTTTATGAATACCTGTTTTTTCCTATCCCCAGCGTTAGGAGATTGTTTGTACGCTGATGGTAGCTCCGAAAGGGGCCGCGAGCCCCAGGCAGGCAGTGCTTTTCTTGGAGAGCAGCGCTTCTGAAATGAGAAACAGACAGGGAAAATAAAGACAGGCTAAAACATACAAGCAAGGAGAGGCTGATGGGCCAGCGCTGCAGTTTCTTGTTCCTTTTGTGTGGATGGTTCCTGCTTGCACTCCTGGTGCCTGACCTTAGCTCCACTCACACTTCCACACAACGTGAAGGCTTTGAAGCATCGTAGCTGCTTCTAATCACAGACTCACAATGAGTTATGTTGATACAAAAAGCCAGGACACTAATAAATACATAGAGCTACCTAGAACGGTTCATTATACACTTTTGATTTTCCAGCTTCCATTTAGGAGAAGAGCTAAATTGCTAAATCTTAAATAATGTACTTAACTACCATCTCACTAGCAGAAATTCACACACTCAAACTCAAGGGAGAGCAGGCAGCGACACCCTAGGTGCTCTGCTTTTCACACAATAAGCACATCTCTCTCTGGTTAAATCACTATCAGTGCAGATTTCATCACATTTAATTACATAGTGCCCAATCCCAGAGCTGAGCTTTCTATTTTCAAACACTATTTTCTCAGGGATGCCCTAAACAGATCTAACTAAAAAAATGAGCAATTATAAGATTGTTTGGATCCCCGTAAGTGGTGGGATCCAAAGCCAATGTGGATCTAGCAATGTTCACGGGAAGCTTTGCCTCTCTGACATATTTTAGCTCCTAGGAGCTATATCCCATGTCATTCGTACCTGTCCCATTTGCCCAGTTCTCAGCAGGGCTTGTTAGGTTGGCCGGTGGCTGCATTGATACGGCCACCAGAGTTTTTGCTGACTCAGGAAATGGCAGAACGAGCTTTTTCCTGCCTGTGGACATATTTCCAGATAAAACACGGGCAAGTCTTGCTGTGAGATTGTCAAGTCCCTCTAACTCAATGGGTGTCCTATATATTTGCGGTGTCTGCATTGCAATGAGATTTTGCTGAATTTGATATGTTGGTTTTACAGAGGAAAAATCTTGGCACAAGTAGAAGGAAATGTGGGAAAAAAGCAAGACAAGAGTCTTTAAGAGATGAACTAGTGGGAGTTTCTGCTCTGACCCCCGATCCTGTTCTTATACACCTACGTTCCCTGAAAGGTGCCGCGGGGAAATAGGGAAGCAGCTGTGACGGCAGCAACAGGCAGGGACTGTACGTATAGCGAGAAGCTGAGGGGAGGGTGGTTAGGCTCGGTGCTCTTTTAAGACACAGCACACCATGTCGCCCATGTAAGAGTCACGCTTTTCAGGCACGCTCTTGGAAGATCTAGGCACAAGTACAAGGAGGTGGTTTGAAATTACTACGTATGTCTTCTTGAGATATTTACACTCCGGGGACCACCCACACCACAGGATGTGTTTGAATTGCTCACCAAGCTTTCTTCTGGAGTCAAGACAAAATTACCGATTCTCTTTTCCCAGAATGCAAGAAAAATTAGCAACGTTCTGAATTATTACTATTATTATTACTATTACAGAGGCATTTTTTAAAAATAGGTCCCATTTTTTAAGACCTTTCAAGCACTGAGGGAAATCTTTGCACCTCTTCAACTCCTTTAACTGCTGGTTACTTAACCCTAGCTTTTAAAAAAAATGCATGGAGGTAAAAACAAACTCCTCTTCTTTGTGAGCCAGTTTAAGCAAGTTGACAAAAGGATATGGGAAGGCAGGATGAAATCCTCATTAGAAAAGCTGCATTATTTTCTATGTTTATATGACAGTGAAATCCTTGTGGCTACTCTTGTGCACTGAGACAATATATTTTAGTTTTAATTGTTTCAGTCAATGTCAATTTTACATCAAACATGCAATAAAGTAAAAATGGCCTTTGGGAAACATCACTGAATCTTATTTTGTGCTGCAGTACTGCCAGTGTAAATATCTACTTCTGTTTTGTAAGCTCAAAGCCAAATGGAGCAAGATTTTCCTTTCAGAGAGACTACTGACCTGTCAGCATCGAAAATATTATTTTTAGCATATAAAAATTGTTTGTCAGTTATTTTAATAACAAGAATCTTTGCAAAATCCATTATTACTCTAGTAAACATTTTTCCTTAGGCAGTAATAGTAGGAAATGAATTAAGAAGTTAGTTGATAGCAACTGGATAAGAAAAAATTATAAAGTGTCACATCCACAGAGTTACTGGGATAGAATATATTTTCTTTCTATTTAAATTATTAAATGTTTACAGTAGCTTAGAGAAAACATCAGATCTAAAGCATTTTGGTAAATTATAATTTATTCTACTGTTTGCTTTCCAGGATGCTAGAAGATGACCTCAAGTTAAGCAGCGACGAAGAAGAGACTGACCAGGTAAGAACCAGACAACTAACATGTCACTTGTAGCATGTTTCATGTCGAGACTGAGCTACTGCAAATATTTTGCTAATGCTTTTTCAAAACATACATAAAGGTTATCAAAATACATGGCAGTACTGTAACTGAAGTAACAGATGTTGCTGCTCGGAGCCAGCCCACGTGTGCTAACTGCTGGATTGGTGGGGAACAGTCTGCAGTGCTCTTGATTTATTACCTTGATGTGACCCAGAAGGTTTTTGTATCAGTCTCCTCTGATTTGATTTTGTTTGGTTTTAAAGAGCAGCCAAGGAGGGGAGAAACAGGAATTCTGGATTAAGGGTTCGGGCCAAACCTTGCAATCATGAGCTGGCCCCAGGGATTAGCCGCTGCGCTGCTTACCTCTTACCTGCCTAGAACCCTGCTGGCATCCCCCCAGCTCTCGCCTCTCCTGTGAGCGTTTTTGGTCCTGTCTCTGTGTGGCCCATGTGTGCTAAGAAAGCTAAGGACAGCTGAGAGAAAGCCTTGGCTGTGCATTTGGTTCACTCCATAACACAGCAATTAGGGCACTTGCCTGGGTTTTAACGACCCCAAACTACCTGATTGGGAGCAGATACATCAGCCACAGTTTTCCATGTGTCAGAAGAGCTGAGTTTTGTTGGCAGGGGGAGGTGTCTCCCTATTTTTCCTTAAAACATTGCTATGTTTTGTCTAAATAATTAAGTACTCACTAGAATAGGGCTGGATCTTGACTTTCCCATGGCCAGCCGAGTGCCTCGTTGCCAAGCGGTGGTATGCCACGCTCTCTCCTTCTCAGTATACTGACATGGGTGATTTGGTTGGGGATGAGAGGGCAAGAGCCACTTCCCTTCCTTCTTGCACGAAAATGCATGTCCCGTGCCTTCACCGGAGCATATGAGGGCAGTACTATCCCTGGTTGCATCTCACAGATGGATCCAGACCTGGATATAACATGGACTTCAAATGTGATTTTTTCAGTCAAGGGTAACTGGAGCTATCTAGACTTCTGAAATTCAGGATCTTAGACAAATAATTCTAGGTATGTAGGCATGAAGCTCTGCCAGGGTTTTCTTTAACTCTTGTTATTAGAAGTCTCTATTTTACAATATATTCCAAACAACAGGTAAATCAAAACCTTTTAATATTTATACTAGACCATTATTTCACCTATTTTGAGCAAAGCTTCTTGGTGCTAAGAAGATTCAGCACATAGATTCAATTATTTACATATTTATACAATTTCTTTTTGTTTAATGTCTTTCATCCTGCAACACTTCACATTTAATTACTCTTCCTGCTTGTCTAGATAGTTTAAAATACAGCGCATAGACAGCATAGGGCAAAGTAAAGTGAGGGACAGAAGGGATGTCTGAAGAATAACAATAGCACACCAAGATGCCGTTGGTGCTTGCAGCGACGGGCTGGGTGGTAGGGGAGGGGGAAGCCAGTGGTCAGGAGAGATGGCTTGTCCTTCGGGTAGGAAGGGAGATGGGATCCTGCGTAATGGATGCCAGCGTGGAACAGACTGGCAGAGCCAGAGAGCTGAAATTCTGGTTTGCTTCCTAGCAAGCAGAAAAGGACATGTGAAAGTGTTTATCATGCAGGAGATAAGAGAATGTTGGTAGGTTTAGGCGGAGAAGGGATCATGGAAAAGTACTGCCGTTTGGGTGTGCACACATGGTACCTTCAGTTTAGCGCTACCACTTACAACTATTAACATCTTTCGTGCACTTGGATTGCTCAGTATTATGTATGCTACACAAGGTCTTCGTTTAGTAACCAGAGCTGTAAGGTACACCTGATACAGCCTCGATCTTTCACCTCGGTGCTCGAACAAGCTCTGCAGACCCAGGACAGAGTTTGCCACCCATGCAACAAAGAGCAGAGCTGAGATCCCAGTACTCACTTCTAATCGTCACGGGCCCTAGGGTGAGCAACCTTTGGCAATTACTTTGTGACTTGGTCCCCTTTCCTAGTCACATTTTTTTCTAACTTGACTGTACAGATAAAAATCTCCTGGAGACCCAGGCTGGCTCCTGCTATACAAAATGCTTTGCAGAACCCCAGCTGAGACCTGCAGGTTTGCTTAGTGAACAATCCTAAATAAATATGCCTGCTGGATAAATGAAACACTATGTTTCCATCTACCTAGCAGGAAATAGGCCCAAAAAAAGAGTAACACAGACCCCCTCTGCCAATAAATGCCCGGATTACAACATGGATCTGTGTCTAATGTCAGTGGAAGAACCCATTTTCTTTTACTTCTTAATTCCGAGGCTCTTTAATCTCAGATCTCCACCTGAGCTTGGGAACAGGAAAGAAAGAAATCAAAGATGAAGAGATAGGAGCAGTACATGAGTGATTCCCAGATATTCCTTACACAATTAATTAACCTCTGAGCATCCAGACTCATTTAAGTAGTCCAATTTCTTAAAGAGCTGAAGGTGGGCTGCACAAGAACTGGGAAGCTTTTCATTTTGCTCATTTCTAAACAGGGAAGTTTAGAGGAAAGACTTTGAAAACTTTGGAGGAGCTTTTGTGTTTGTGTCTGAAATTGCCAAGCAGTGAACAGAAAGTTTCCGAAGCAGTGCAAACGGGGACAGGTGCTCCCGCACTCCCAGGGCTGGTGTTTGGAGGGCTGTGACTGACCCAGGGAATGTCAGCCATGAATGAGGGAGGCCAAATGCAAGACAGAGACATGATTAAGAGCTTCGGGACCAGCAGTGGGCAAGGCATTCCCAACCTTTCCCTCTGCGTCAGCAATTAAGGTAGTGAGATTCACAGACCCAGGAGAGGCGAAAGAGGCTGGGTTTGAGCTGAGTGTGTGCGCGCCCACAGTAATTACATTATCCACACATATTAGTCTCTTAATTTTAATTACATAAATGTATTTTTCCTCTTTAATGAGCATAGTTTATCCATTTAAACTGATCGTTTTAATTTTACAGGCAGTGATCATAGGATCTAATATGCAGAGGGAAAATTTCCTGTTGGCATATTTTACATCACACAGATTGAAGAAAATATACTTTTTAATCCCCAATCAATATCTGAAGAGCATGCAATTAACAGATACCAAGGTAGTTAACATAAATCTGCAAGTTAAAGAGCCAATTCATTTTGATTTATAACACATAGAGTAATAATTTCATCATCATCTCCCCCAGAAAGCATCTGAAGCTTTGTAGCATGAAGATGTCAAAATTGTACTTAAGATTGTTCAGAGTACTGAATTGTAGTGGTTATTGCCTTTTGGTTCCTTGAAGTGTGGCATAGCACACGAAACAGTCCCATTATAATACACTGCTCTTCTCCGTAGAGGTCACTGGATAACTTAAATCAGTCTTGGGTGAAATATTAAAAGGAGATTGTCAATTGTAATATGAACAATTCTCTTTTTTTCCCCTACTTGTCCTTTTACAATATGAAAATTTTGTAAGAGAAAGTAGTTCCTCTAAGGGGAAAAAGATCCCTGGCATCATTTGTGCAATTCATGTCAATCAATAGCCAAATAAATTAACTGACTGCTACGCATACATGGAATAATAATCTAACATATTTTTGCTACCCAAGTCTGCTTCCTTGTATGCATTTTTTCTGCGCGGGATCAGGTTGGTTGCCGCTGAAGTTTTGTGGCTGTGAAAATTTATTACCCACAGAGTCAATCTGCATTCTGGCTGCCAAGTCTGAATAAATAGAGTCATTGTGCTTGTCTGGAATATGTAACCAAAGTTCATCCAGTCAGCTTGACTTTCACATCCCATGGGATTCATAAAAGCCAACACCCTGGTATGTGCTCTTGATTCCTGCCAAAATTTTGTAAAATTGTATAAACAGAAGTTGAAGAAGCAATCAGAACACACTCCCAGGGACATGGCTCCGCACTTCAGCCCCTGCTGCATTGTGAAAGGAAAGACCCAACTTTAGTACTTTTTTTTTTTTTTTTTAAAGAATCGTATGACTATCCCCCTAAATGCGGGGGCTGAAGACACCCTCTGCGCACAGTGCACAGGGAGGCAGTGAACAATCCTCTCGGGTTCATTAATTTTGCTCATGTGCCCTGTACCAAAGGAAGAGGGAAGGCAGCATTTGCCTGCAAGTGGCTGCCCTCCTTAAGAAGGGACAGGCTGGCCTGCAGGGTCTGAGCGGTTTGAGCAAAACCGGCCCCTCCGCAAGCAAGCCAAGACAAACAGAAAGCCACGTCCCTTCACAGGAGACCTCAGGGGAAGAGCAGCCTCAAGAAAGTTCACCAGGAACAGCTTCAGTGCGGTAAAATAAAAGTTTCGGCAGCCTGCTCTGGCTCGCCACCCGGAGCCCCGTGGGGCGATGGCAGCCCACCCAGCCTGGCAGCCTCCCGGGGGTCCTGGGGATGCCCCCCCACCCACGGTGGCCTGGGGACAACCAGGGTGGGCTGCTGGCCCTGGGGGACCCATCCATGCTCCAGCATCACCCTGGCCATGGCTGAGCTGGAAAACTTGATGTTACTTTGAGTAACACCTGCAGCTCCGGTGGGGACACACGTGCCTATGTTTTCTGTCCATGACATATGCGCTGAGGGATGCCAGGGCTCAGCGCTGGAAATACATCTTTCTGGCAGGACTGTCTGCAACGTAGGCATTTAGGACCAGCCAAATCCGTCCTGTCATTGCAACAGGACAAAAGTTCATCTACGTGGTCAATGGCAATCAGTATGGCTGTGTCCCTACGTAAATTCCATTAGGAAATTACTTATTTTTTTAAGTCATAAAATCATGTTTCATTTCCTTAGTGGTAGCCAGAAACAAATGAGAAAGAATGTATGTAAAGACAATCTTTTTAATAATGCGTAGGACTTTTCCTTCTCACTTCTGGATATGGACTAACAATCAACAAAAAGATAAAAATTATCCTGAAATGTACGGTCACGCGTCCACCTTCTTCCAGAAGGAATTCTTTTTAGTTGAGTCTTTATAAGCACTACCTCTGCATATGAAATGTAATATTCCAGCTAATTTGAA